GGGTTTGACTTCACTTGATTGTCACTGTTTGTTTCGCAATTGATACTTGTTACCGTGCAAACATATTTTTCACGAACATATGTATGGAGACGTGAAATTATTAACTACTGATGTATGGAGAATGTTTCAGAAAATATTTGAGGAGAGCGGGTTTGAAGTATATGAACATCGTGAATTAGTGATAGAGTTTGTACAAACAGAACAACAAAAAAAAGCCAAAAGTTGGAAACTTACTGTGTTCGAATTGACTGAAAGAGTCCGCGATAGATACTGGAGTGTTGAAGAGGGGGGTAATGCTGAGAGAACAGAGGCTTTTATTTCTACATTAGAAGCCTCTTTAAATCCTATTATCATACAATTTAAATAATTATAATAAAATATTCGTGAAAATTTGGTGGTTTATTTTTTTGAAATTTGATTTTTTTTGTTTTTTTCATGGTATTTTTTGTTTTTTTTCATGGTATTTTTTGAAATTTCAATGGTTTTTCTAAAGAAAAATTCGCTTTTTCATTATTTTTCATGATTTTTTTGCGAAATTTTTATGGTTTTTTTTAGTTTTATTTTTTTTTTTTAATATGAACGATTAAAAAAAAAAAATTTTTTTCATGGAAAAATTTTTTTGACATCGTGGCTTGTGGCTTGTAATAATTGGTTAAGTCACGTGACTCTGCTCCGCTTTAGACGACCTCTTTATTTGGCCGTTTTGGTTATACAAAAAGGAATTAACTTTATTATTAATATATTTTACTAGGACAAGTCTGATTATAATTTTTATACCCCTTATAAACAATTTTGTTATGGAATTGACTTGATTAAATATTACGTTAAAGGTATTATAATCTCATGATCGATTTCTCTTATAACAGCGTTGTCAGGTTTAAGCAAATTTAATATAAATTATTGTTCTGAATTTTCTGATTTACCGAATAACCGTTACCAATTTAATATTATTTCTAGTCCAATTACATGTTATCGTAACACTGTTTTTTATTTGGAAAATATTTTTTTTGTTATTGTAATAACTAAAAAAAATTGTGGTTTACCCAATTAGATTTTCGTTTATTATTGAATTCATCAAATTTACTCTATTTTTAATATGAAATAATGATAAAATTTTATTTATTATAGGAAAAAAAGAAGGAAAGAGTATTATTAGATTTATTTTTGGATAATATATTTGTTTTAAATTAAAAAAATTAAATCCACTTTTGTTTAATATTAGATTCCTATTTATTTTAACACGAAATTTTTTTTTTTATATTCAAATTGTTCTTTAAATTAGAAAATAGTTTGTTTTGTAATTAAAATCATTGAAATAATAAAGAATTTATAATACTATTATACAAATATATAATGAAAAAGAGGAAAATTTTTCTTATAGATACTGGTTTATTTGAAAATTTATTTGAGTAATATTTTTTTAAGCTTATTTTTGTTATAAAATTATATAAAATACTTTCCATCTCAATTTGAAATTTTAAATTATTTACTATATTTAGTGCTCCTACCGGGTCAGATTCGGTTGGGTTTGGAGAATATATCTGACTCAACCCGGCAAAAATAGAAATGATCTGATTTTAACCTGACCCGAGTATATTTAATTCGAATAACCCGGGTTAAACCCGAAATTTTAGTAATTTTCATTGCTGTATGCTTAGTAATATATCAAAAATATTTTTTCAAACATAACTTTTTCAATAACGCAAGGTAATTGATCTAAAAGATGATCATATAGGTCACTCAACTTTTTATTATTAAAACTAAAGCTAAGCACGAATTTAAAGATATCTTCAATTCCTGTTTATTTATTGCTTTATATTTGAACTATAAAATCGAAATTGTATCACTTGCTTTAACAGAAATTTGACTATTTTATATCTGCCAGAACTCTAAACACATGCTTTAAGGCTACATCCTTTTGCAGCTATCAAATCGGTTCCACCGGCAAATACTCTTTCTACTGGAACACTGGTTGCTTTATTAATTATCAAAATCAACTTATTAGCTAATGTAATATTAATAATTAATAATAATAATTCATACACATATCTGTAATTGCAAGGTGTCTCTAGCAATTTTCGCTATACTACCTCATTCATCCAACAAAATTATATAAAATTAATCAATATTAACGCGTAATCAATATGTTATCAGTGATTTTAATGATTATCCGGGTCTAATTCGGGTCAAAACCCGAGTCAAGGAAATGAATAACCCGACCCGACGGGTCGGGTCATGCGGTCATGGGTTATTAAAATTATTAGTACCGACCCGATTTAAAATTCACTCGGGTTGAATTATCCGGGTTAGACCCGAATTTTGCGGAGCACTAACTATATTTGACAAATTTCAAATTTTTCCCTTTATTCCTTATTTTTAGCAAATAAAATAGAGTATTGCTAAATCTCACCACTAGTGATTGTCATCTTAACAGAATTAGGGTAGAATTTTGGGTCAATTAAAAATGTTGTGAAACTCCGCTCATTAATATTTGCTAGATTTAGCAATGCCCTTGTTTTCTATATTTAGTTTGAAGGTTATTTTGTGATGTTACATTTAAACTTCATTTTTCAATTTTTATCAAATTTAGGCAAGCATTATAAAATTGGCCGGAATTAAGCAAAATTTGGCCAGAATTATGGATTCAAAAATCATCAATTTTAACCAATAAAATTTATTTTAGCCGATTTTGGTTACATAAACCATATAATTAATAACTATACAGAACCATAATTTTTAATATTGCTATCATAATAAAAAAAATTTGCTCTTGAATTTTATTACATGACATGCACTATACTATGTATTGCAATCAAAATATAAAATGTAATATAAATTTTACTGTATAAAGTTTATAAAGGATAAATTAGTAACATAAAGCTTATGTCTTATTATGATACAAAGTACAATATTAACTTAGCAATATAATAATATTAATTTACTCTATATAAATTGTTCTTTATTTTCTATTATTTATTTTTAAGTTCTTCCAACTTATATTGAGCATCTTGAATTTCCTTTCCATTCTTATACATTATATACTATATTGTGCTGATACATTTCCTAAATCTGCAGCTTTACAATATAATTCAAATGCCTTTTGATAATCAATAT